CCTTCATCCGGGATTCATCCGATTTCATTTTTTCCTGCCGCAATGGGCAGAAAGCCTGCTCAGAAGGATGGGCAGCCGCTGGCAAAAGCTTTTGCCAAGGGTGCTGCTGCAAAGCAAAAAGCGCCCGCTGCAAAGACCGCGCCAAAGACCAATTCGCGGCAAGACCAGGCATCTTTGAAAGTCTTGCCAGTGGTGCCAGAATTTGGTGACACAGCTTCCAAAGAAGCTAGTGGCAGTGCACCTCATCAGGCAGTTCCACCTGCAAAGAGAAAAGAATTTGCAGAAGGCTCCAAAGATAGTTTTGGCCAGGCTTTGGCCGCCGGCGCAAGTGATGAGGGTCACTTGGAGCCACATAAGCGGCTTTGTTTGGAATCAGCTGCACAGACGGCTGAGAAGGCAGTTATTGAGGATTTGGTTAGGGCTCAGTTGGACAAGGCCAATCAAGAGCACCAGAGCACAGGACTTGAAGTGGATACCGGAGCGGAAGGAACAATCTCAAAGTCTTCATCTACCGCTCTTGGTGCTGTTGGCGCTGAGCTTGGGAACAATGATGAGGTTAGGGCTGCAGTTGCCGCTACCGAACCGTCGAAGGGCAGCAATGAGAAATGTCCAGATGTCAAACCTGAGGTCAAGCCTTCTAGCCCACCGCAAGAAGGCAAGTCAAAGAATCCGTTACTGGAAGAGACTCAGTCTGCAGCCTTGGCAGAGGCAAAGAACGCAGGAGAGGAAGCACAAGCAGCAACAGTTGAGAAAAAAGATGAAGATCCGGCCTCCTCGGCCCCACTTGAACCCACGGCAGAAAAAGATGATGCTCTTTCTTCAGCTGTGAAGGGTGAAGGTGCAGATGATGGTCAGCGTCAGGATCAGGGTGGTGACCTTCCTTCCCTTTCTTCTTCAGCTTTGCCGCCAAGTGGAGGAAGTGTGGCCAATGAATCGTCAAAACATGGTGATGCTGGGGACTCTTCGGCTTTGCAGCAACAAGGAGCAGAGGATGCCACGATGGACCCTCCGCCGGAAGAGGCTCAGTCTGCAGCCTTGCCAGACAGAAAGAACGCAGGAGAGGAAGCACAAACAGCAACAGTTGAGAAAAAAGATGACGATCCGGCCTCCTTGGCCCCACGTGAACCCATGGCAGGAAAAGGCGGAAGTGTGGCCAATGCATCACCAAAACAGGATGATGCTGGGGACTCTTTGGCTTTGCAGCAACAAGGAGCAGAGGATGCCACGATGGACCCTCCGCCGGAAGAGGCTCAGTCTGCAGCAGTTGGAGATTTCGTGGACATTGCCGAGTGCTACAGGGAGAGAATTTTGCAAGAGCTTCTGGAGATGACGGATGAGTCAAGAAGAAAAGAGTTGGAGTGGGCTGACATGCACCCAGACTTGCATGAATACAACGCCAGTTTGAAAGAGAGGGGCTTGCAGGAACTTTCTTTTGAGGGTGGACGATACAAGGGTGGGTTTGGCAGCAACGCTTCTGTCCCATTGAGCGGGTTCATGGCGTGGCTGTGGGAAAAGGAGCAACGTGAGAAGGGCGACGACAGCGACGAGGATCACGAAGCTGAAGCTGGTTCCGGGAGTGATGCTGAATCGATCACAGCTTTGATTGAAAGCGAGATGAGCAAGATGGAATTTGACAAAAGCGAAGGCCATTTCGCTGCTGCCTTGCTTTCAATTTTCACAATCCATTGAAGAGTCACTTGAATTGTAGTTGCATTTTGGTGTAGTCGCAAGCCACTGTAGTTGTTGTCACTATATGGTCATACACTGTAGTCAGCACTACTGTCGTTTTGTGACTAAGGCTAGGGCTAATCAAGTTGTGTTCAATGTGTTCCAAGTCCCGATTGTGTTTCCTTGCAGAATCCCTCAAGCCGACTCAAACCCGAAGCGTTTCACGACTTCCAAACTTTCAACTTTCAAGTAAGTCTAGTCATCTAAGTAAGTTGAAAGTTGAAGTTGAAACATTGAAACTTGAAACTTGGTTGAAAGTTGTTCTGCCAATGTGAGAGTGAGTTTCTCCGGGCTGGGTTTTGTTTTTGTTTACTCGCTGTCACGATGTTTGCTGTTCAGGCCGTGGGCCATGGTTCAATTTGAAGGCAATGGCCAAGGCAGGGTGACGTAGCTGAAGACCGACTAAACCAACTGCAACTGCAACTGAACTGTACAGAGCTACTGTCTCACTTAGCTCTGAGGCTCCAATTACGCATCCGTCCGACATTTTTGTGCAAAAAACTAAAAAACTTGAAAAACTGTAACTGTAAAAACTGTAAAACAATCACTTCTACTAGAAACATGAGACTGCGTTGGCTCTTGATTCTTGTGATCCTTGCCCTTCCAACTTGATACCAGCCATTCCCCTGTCATATCCATATATGGTGATCGATCTAAAGGTCCTTGTAAGGAGTTTTAATTGCGAAAGCCGTGCATGTTATGTTGGAAACCCTCGCGGAAGTTTTTTTTTTCGAGTTCGCGAAAGTAAAATTTTATTTCGCGAGCGAAAGTTGGGTATTATAATCATATGAATATATGAATCATATGTAAAGGGCTGCCACCCACTGCCGCCCGGGGTCCGGCAGGAGAAGGGCACCAGAGAATGCGAGTAGCAGTAGCCAAGTTTCCAAAAGTGAGGCTTTGCGAGAGCCAAACACCAAGGCCCCTAGTCTTCGCTTTTCCTTCAGTGCACCCCCTGCTGATGGCCGGGGTCTGTGAATAGGGATATTTTCGCGAAAGTTCCGCGAAAGTTATGCGAAAGAGCGGGCGGAAGTCAAAGTGCATGTTGAAGGGGGTGGGCCAGTAAACTTTGCAAAAAAAATCTGTCCTGAGAAGGGATTCCGTGATGCTAGCTGCATGTTTTTAAAAGGCTACCAAGAAGTGATCCGTGATTCTTTGGCGTAATTTGGCAGGTGGTGGTGAACGAATCTTCATAAGAGGTGTTGTTGGCCAACGTGGGCCCCGCGAAAGATAAACATGGAGTTCTGAGTTCGCGAAAGTTTTAAGTTTTTAACGGGTTTTACGTTTTTTTACGGTTTTTTACGGTAAACTTTTGTCCTTTTTAGGACATGGCAAGACAAGTGGAGAGGCAAGCCTTCTCCTTTTCTCTCATTGTGGAGAGGCAAGCCTTCTCCTTTTCTCTCATCATTTTAATCACTGTATATAGCACATATATATAATATATATAATAATTATAATATTATATTATATTATATATATAATATTATTATATAATATTATAATATATATATATATTACACACTGTTACTGTTACTGTTACTGTTACTGTTACTGATATACAGTCAGTCAGTGATAGTTAATATAAATCATCCGTCCATGCTTTGACCAAGCTGTTTGTGAGGAGCAACTACTTGCCCTGGAGTCCAAGTTTGGTGATGAGGAAACTACGCGCTGGTGGAGGGGGCTTCCGAAGCGGATCAGGATCATGAGCGCTTGTAGCGGAACAGGTATGTTTGAGCTCTGCCTCCAGAGGGCAGTGGAGGAGATAAATTCACGATTGGCACATTGTGGCGAAGAGGAAATTCAGGTGGGTTGAGCCAGTTGTTTCGGCTCCACTTTCTTCAAGACTTCTTGCCGACCCCCTCCAAATCATGGAGTCGCCAGGTTTCGACTTTGTTCTCCTGCGAGAACGTGGCAAACAAGCAGAAATTCCTCATGGATCATGTGCTTCCCAAGCAGGCCGATGGAGTTTCGGATTGGGTGTCGGTTTAGGTTTCCAGCTGCCACAACTGTCGTGCCATGTCCTTTGTTGTATTGTATTGTTGAGTAAGGAAAGCAGGAAGGTTTTGTTATCAGTTATCAGTGATATGAAACACGTGAGTAGTTTTGTTTTGCAAGTGGTATAAAATGATCAGTGATCAGTGATCAGTGATCAGTCATTTTCTGTTTCACTTGACTTTGTTGTTTCTTGGTGGCCGGGGCTTGACGCCTGACCTTGCCAAGGCGTGCTTGTTCAAGGACATCACAAAGATGCATGGAGATCAGCGATTTTGCTGCGTCCATGAACGGTCGTGTGCCCCTTGACTTTGTGAGCCACTGGTCACTTAGGAGTCTGGAAATCAGAATTTTAGAGTCACTGAGTCACTAAAGTCACTGAAAGAAAGACACCAGACTTGTTATCAATCCACTTTTACACTCACTGACTCAATGTACAACTTTTCAATTGTTCGGATCTCCACCATGTAGTCTCTGAGTGTTTGAACATGCCTGAGTGAGATGGCAGAATATAGCATATGTTTGTTGTGTTTGCTTCGCGCGATTTGTGAGGACATGCCCAAGTGTGGACCTGATGATGACATAGCCTTCACCCTATCTATTTTTTGCGCAGGCTTCTCGTGTAAGCCACGGCCTCATTTTTTTTTGCTTGCAGCTTGCAGCGACTTGTGTTCATTGGTCATGGTTCGGTCCATGGTCTTGGTGTGGACGCATCATTTCGAACAACTTTGAAATCTGAGAGTTCTCAGACTTTGAACTTTGAATCGAAACACAGTTAATGCAACTTTGTCAAGGATTTTTTTCATTGGTCATGGTTCGGTCCATGGTCTTTGTGTGGACGCATCATTTCGAACAACTGAGAGTTCTCAGGCTTTGAACTTTGAATCGAATCGAAACAAAGTTAATGTAATTTTGACTTGACTTGAAATTTCCATTCTTGCCTTGCACGCAGTGCCAATGCGACTGGAGGTCATATTCTCGGATGAATATCAACTACAAGGAATTGAAATCAGCGATGGCCGACAACAAGGCTGGGGGAACACCAAAGTGGAACGCAGTCTTGCGCACTGGACACTATTGCAAACAGCAAACAGTTGATTCGGTTAACATTGACATGTTGTCATGTTGTGATGTGATCCCGCATTGAACTCATGTCTGAGAGATCATTGAAGTTTTTGGCATTTCAAATCATTTCTGGGTAACATATTTAGGAGATTTCATATTTGATTTCCGACTGAATTAGTTTTCTGCAGCATTTCACTGCAGCACGATATATTCGATTTAAAAAAAATCAAAGGTTTCTCAGAGTTGTCAGTCTGTTTGTCAGATGGAATTCGTGTTGCCACTGCTGTACTGCACATTCTTCTTCGAACTGCCGAAGTCTGACTAACTTCTACTACCCTCTTTTCTCGCCACTTTGCCATGAGGATTGCAGCTCGGTCAAGACCTTTGACGGAGTCTCCAAGGTGCTGGAGGAGCAGAAGCCAGCTGCATTCATCTTGGAAAACGTTGACATGGAGCCGAGCAAAACCGGGAGCAGCAAAAACCAAGATGGCAAAGATCAGCCCCTTGAACTTTCAAGATCCAGCAGTTGGCACTTTGAATTGGAATTTGAACGCATGTTTTTGAAACTTGAGAGTCCGGTAGCTACTGGGTCAGTGTGAACCCTGCGCATAGGACATAGGGCCGACATAGGGTGATGAATTTTGGAATCATTATTTCCTGTCAGTTCTCTCGGTATTCAAGTTTCCGAGCTTCAAGTTTGATGCAACCACCTTCAACCAACTAAAAAAAACACTTGTCACTTTACTGACCCACCCAACTAGCAGTTAAGACTAAGACTACTTATAGACTCTTAAGACTTAAGACTTAAGACTCAAGACTTGACTCAAGACTCAAGACCCAAGACCCAAGGCCCAAGAGCCCAAGACCTTTAAAACACTGATTGACTGACTGACTACGATGTATGACACATGTATGATTCTGTATGATGTATGTTTTCTTCTTCAGGCATCAGGATGGAAGTTAACTTGCCGTTTCATCTCATCGATTGCGGCTTGGTTGGTTTCAGATTCCAATTTGGTCCAGACTGCAGGTCGAACCTCGGCCTGGTGTTGGCCAGGCTGCAAAAATGCGGATACACAGTCAAGACAGCAAAGCTGCGGTCAGACTCCTTTGGGCTGCCGCAGCGGCGTTGCAGGCTGTACTTTTTCGGCGTGAGGCAAGTTGAGAGGATGAATGGGAACAAAGTACTGGAGAACCTTGAGGGCTTGCTCGAAGCCATGCAGTGCCCTTTGCGGTTCACTCCAGCCCCTTGTCGGAGACTGAAGACGGGCCAGGGCCAAGTGAAATCTGATGGAAAACAACAGCTAGTAACTGACGGATGATTGGTCAAAGTCAAGTCAAATCGTTTTGGAACAAAGGCAGAAGCCAGAAACAGCAGAAACAAAAAGCAAGTTCGCTTGATTCGCATGCATGCAAATACAGTCCCAGTCAGTGAGCCATGATCACATCATCTCTGACAGGCGGAGTTGCTCTATCCTTCAGACGATGCGCGCGTGACAGCTGAGCTGCAGCGACTTCAGGCAAAGAAGCTCAAATCAAAGACCAAGCAGACAGATGATGAGACGTCAGCTCGCTGGATGTCTACGCACAAGCAGCTGGCCGCGGACAGTTTCTTGCCAAATGTTAAGTTTCTGCTTGTTTTGTTTGGGTTTGCTGCTTGAGCCTGGTTGAGCGAACTTGGAGTCGAAACCGCACATTATTGACTGGCATTGGTTTAGTAATAGTAAGTTTAGTGAGTGTTTTCGTTGTGTACACCTGATTTTTATTGACCAGTGGTACCATCCAATTTCAACTTCAGTTCTTGCCTCCATCATTGCATCCCGCACAGTCACTGATCTGATATTGAGCTCAAACCGAATGGGTGTCTTTTTAGCTCAAGCTCAGAGGATCATTTGTGGCACTTGGCCCTCACTTGGCCCTAGTTGATTAGTGAAGCCATGTGATAGAATTAGAAATATGTTTGTTTATCAGTTTATCAGATTATCAGTAGTTTATTGAGTTTATAGTTATTGACAATTGAAGTTTATTATTGCTATTTATTACTAATACTGATACTGATATTGATACTTACTATTTGAGTAGTAATAAATTCCATATGCCATATACACTCTGTGACTCTATACTTTGTTACGACGCTTGGGAGACAGCTTCAACCTGAAACATGGGAAGCCCAGGACAAATGGACTATCCCCTGAAGGTTTCGGAGAAGCTAGCTGGGGCTCCTTGGTTCCAGCTCCTTCAGAACCGGGAAAAGGAGGCGGGCAGTGAGCAGAAAACAAGTAGCACACACACACACACCATATACCTATGACGATGACTACCACTATCACTGACTATCACTAGACTATCACTTTATCTGTCTCATATATTATTACTATTCTACTAATTTACTGTACTATACTAATACTAATACCTATACCGAATAAATACCATTATGCCAGGGGAAGGGAATGTGAGTTTGGTGACGATTGCAGTTGACTTGTCAATAATCTCACCCTCTCACCTCTTCTTTTGTTCTCTCTTGGCCCCTATAAAAGGCAGCGTGCGTGGTTCCCTCTCTTGTGTATGCTGTGCGCACCCGAAGCGTAGGTTATTTTAAGTTTGAGGGTTTCTTGAAAGGAAACCAATTTCAAACGATAAGACGATGTGAAACCAACCTTTGACCGAGGTGCTCAGGTGTGAACAAAGGTTTTGAATTTTCATGGCATACATTTTTTAAACAACGCATGCACGATGTTTTTATTCAGGGTGAGGTTGCTGAAGCAGCAACAATGCCAAATATTTGTGAACCAAATATTTTCTGATGATCCTGATGTATCAACAACATGGCACTTGACGCTTGCTGCAGGCAGTTTGCTTCGTTGAGGAATGGAACAGGGAGCGCCGTGGAAAGGGCGAGCCTTTGATCTCTTTTGTCGACATCAGTCAGACGGTGACCCGCATGGCGCAGTCCACCGAGGACAGCAAGGTGCCGAATTCAAATCTCAAACTCAAACTGGTGATATGCTGTAATAATGCAATTATGTTTTTGCAGCCACATCATCAGTTGATATCAAGTTGCTGACGTGAGTTTCAACATGCTTTTCCCGCTTCTGGAAGTTTATCAAGTTGCCAACTGGGGGATGGGTCAATGCCCATTGACCAAAATTTGGGGATTAACATCCATTGACAAGCTGCTTATGGTACATGGCTTTGACCCACAGCCAGAAAGATATTTGTGTTGATTGTTGCTCATTGAAATATACGAATTTCCAGTGCTCGATTGATCCATATACCAGGTACCTGACGGTTTTCCTTTAGATGTGTAGTATGCACCATTGGAAGTTTGCATGGAATGGAAAGGAAAGGAAAGGAAAGGAAGGAACACTGTTCTGTTCGTCGTTGTTTAGGTGTGGGGTCAGGCCAACCTCGAGTGCAGGTGATTTTTTAGGGAAAGGGACGGCTTAACCACTAAGTACACGTGATTGCAGTTTCAGATTTCAACTCCTTGCAAATGAGGTCATTCCAACGGTGCTTCCCGGAGCGAAGTTTTGGAATGTTCCTCTGTGCCGATGGGTCATGGGCTGCTCAGCTCAACAGCGGGACTCTAAATTAAACTTTTTAAACTTTAAAAAAATAACTTTAAACTTTAAACTTTAAAACTTTAAACAAACTTTAAACTTTAAACTCTTTAAACTTTAAACTTTAAACAACTTAACTTCTTAAGCCGGTAAAACGGTTCATCCCAAGCATCAAGTGACAAGGTTGTTTTGCTGTCCATCGAAATCATTAGTCTGTGGTGTGCGCTAGCTCCACAACAATTGCAAGTTTCAACAACCATAGACTCGGGCCCATGATCTGCGTCGGCAATGCCAGCTTAGGTTCGGAGATGTTGAGATTCCAGGGCCTGTATGTGGAGGAGATGGCCTCCGATGTGACGGAGTCTGAGAAGCTGCTGGCTGACTTGGCAGGGAACGCCTTCAGCTCATGCTGCATTTCAGCAGCAGTTTTTGCGCTGTTGGCGTCCCTGCAATATGAGTCAGACTCGGAGGACGAGCAGCTTGCTGCGATCAGCCAGGCCTTCACGGCCGTTGCCCTGCTGGGCCGCAGGGTCCGAGGGGATCAGCAGTAGGTAAAAAGAATAGGTAAGTAGAGTATAAGAGCCAGAAGGTATAATGTAGAAGGTTGGACTGTCAGCCTTTCATCGCATCCCATCCTCTATCTATTATCAAGTTTCAATATCTTATCAAAATATAATATCAATAACGAAAAATAACAAAAATCAAGGCAGAAACACTCACTAAAGTCACTAAATAATTGATTCGATTGTTGTTTCTTAATTTTTAAATATCATAAAAACATACTTATCAATTATCAATATCAATTTCAAAAAACATTCAAACTATAATTATATATTATATATATAAATTATATATATATATATTATATATATAATATATTACTTATTACTTCAAAACTTATTCAGATTCAAAACTATTGATATTTAGTTTATATCAGATTCATTTTTTAGTTATGATAAGTTCTTAAATCATTGATTCATTCTTCATTATTGGTTCTTCATGTTGCTTATTCTGCTTCATCTCTCTTTGCGACGGGCGAGGCTGGACAAAACAGTGAAAACCCCGGAAACCACCAACAAAAAACATGGAATCTTGGAAGAAGTACCGCTGACCTCTTGGGCAAGACTCTTGGGCGGCCTGTTGCTGAGACCAATCCCGTGCCGGCTGTGTGAGAAAAAAAATGCTCGCATGGAGTGGAACGTTTCCCATTTTATGGCTGAGTTGTTTTCATGTTCAATTGGTACCCTGTGGTTCAGACATATCGACGTGGGATCATATGGTTCCAGGCCTGAACAGAACATGTATTGGTATTGTATCTGAGTACCTAACTATGTACCTTGCATACTGCTACTGTGTACCTGGCACATCGCACGCATGTACCTTGCATGCCGCACCCATGCATCTTGCACGCATGTACCTTGCGTGCCACACCCAGACAACATGCGTACCTTGAACGCTGTACCCAGTTGCCTTTCTGTACCTCAAATGTTGTACCCATGCACCCTGCGTACCGTACCAGTGCACCCTGCGTACCGTACCAGTGCACCCTGCGTACCGTACCAGTGTACCCTGCGTACCGTACCGGTGTACCCTGCATACCGTACCCAGACAACGTGCGTACCTTGAACACTATACCCAGTTGCCTTTCTGTACCTCAAATGTCGTACCCATGTACCCTGCGTACCGTACCCATGTACCCTGCGTACCGTACCAGTGCACCCTGCGTACCGTACCAGTGTACCCTGCGTACCGTACCGGTGTACCCTGCATACCGTACCCAGACAACGTGCGTACCTTGAACACTATACCCAGTTGCCTTTCTGTACCTCAAATGTCGTACCCATGTACCCTGCGTACCGTACCCATGTACCCTGCGTACCGTACCAGTGCACCCTGCGTACCGTACCCCCGTACCACAAGTAGCGTACCGTACCAAAAGGTGAAAGCGTACCCAATCACTATTGCCATTTGACCACCTCTAGAGCATTACTCTTCAAGTTAGCTAAAATTAATATATAATTTGATAAGATTTAATACTATTCAATATAATATATATATATGTGTGTATCAGAGGACTGTTTTAGCGGTCTTTAAAATAGCGGTACCATGCGGTACCTGTTACAGGGGGGGACGTCCGGTTGTAAAAAAAAATTGGGAAATACCTTGTGAGGGGGCGGGCGAACCTTAAAAAATACAGGCCCAAAATATCCCAAAATGGTCAAAATGGTCATGTTTTTGATATGTTTCGTGTCAGGGGGGTTCAGGGTAGGTCAGAACCTTAGGCCTCGCTTCGCGCAACTTTTGGTTCATCAATCCGGTTGGGGTTACCGGAGTAATTAGAAAACATGTGGTTGTGTCGATATGGAATATAAAGAGTATATACACCAAAGACTACCAAAGGATCTCGGGAAAACGTGATCTGTGTACACATGCTAACATATTTCCAAGTGTGTAATTATGATTGATTGATTGATGGATGGACTTAGGAGGTGCGGGGTGGGCGCGAGGTGTTTTCAGCCTATTTCAGACCCCTTTCAGACCTGCTTTCTGGCTGGGCTGCCAAGCTCCGAACATGGAAGCCTGCTGAAAATGGAAGATATGGAAGTCTGCCAGCCTCAAGCGTTCAAAAGCAGCACGCTGATTCTGCACATAGCCTGAACATATACTCCAGCAAAAATATCGTAGCTTACTTGAATATACCCCAGCACTGAACAGCGAAAAACGGTTCCCAAAACGGAAGCCTTTCATTGTCCTTTCTCGTCTTTGCATTTGTTAACTTGGCATGACTGGACGGATTTGATGATACGGTCTTGATCGATTGCGGGACATACGTCCAAAACCACTAAAATATATATTATATTTTGTAAAAAGATCGTAAAGTACGTCGTCAAAGGTGTCGTAAACATATTCGTAAAAGATCATAAAAGATCAATCCATTAGGCGTATGTCAAAGAGTGTTGCTTCAGGCTTACTTCCCTGCTTCAGACCTCCCTGGTGAGTTTTGTAAATCTTTGAAAAAAAACCGTCCTAGAGCTTCCGGAAAAACAGGGAAAAGTCAACATTAAACATTAAACTATCCAATGGAATGAAACGAACGAAAATGACAGGAAACCAACGTAAATTGAAAGGACATGAATACACAGTAAAAGCATAGTGAAAGACGTGAAAGGAAACGAATGCAGAATGACAAACGTCTGAAATTTAAGACAATAAGTGTAAATTCATGGAACGAGATTGAAACGAAATGAATGTAAAGGGAAAGAATTTGAAACATACAATGAAGGACATTGAAGGACATAATAAGGAAATGAAAGGAAGACGAAGGTATCATAGAGGAAATGATAGATAACCGTGGAAAAATAAAACAGGAACATAGAGAAACGGTGAAATGACGCAACGATACCTTCGCATGCGTTTCCGACTTTTAAACTCCATTCAATCCCTAGTGCGTTCGTGTTTTCATGTGTTTTCTTTATTTTCCTCTCTTCAAGAAGTGCCATGAAAGTTCAAAGAGCTGCGACGGCATTCGACGGGAATGATAAATGTCCCTTTTTGTAATTGACAAGACGTGGGAGGGGGTGAACGTCCATATACGTGACATAAGTTACAGTACAAGATACAAGATTTACAGGGTGAAAAACACAAGGTAGTCCCGATATATCTGATATCATACACTGAATGCCTTGAATGCTGCATTGTTTTGAGCAATGATCGGGACTGTCGTATTCAAATTTCCCTGATAGACTCTGATAGACCAACATTTTTCAGCAATGCTAGTTGGCTTCTCAGCACATTCTCAGCACGTTTTTGCACTAGACCCGTCGCATGATTGCAATGGTTTGCATGATTTTGCATGCATAGATGATATGAATTTATACCATGGGGACAAGAAAGCCATGGCGATCCAAAATCACGAAAGCTAGCGTCAGCTAGCTGGAGTCTTCTTGCTTTAGCAAGTATTGGGGGGGCTGCTCAAGGACATCACGTGATTTTTCACGCGAAAGGCCCCCCCCCACCACCACCACCATCACCACCACCATCATCATCATCATCATCATCATCGTCATCATCGTCATCATCATCGTCATCATCATCGTCATCGTCCTCTCCATCGTCCTCGTCATCATCATCGTCATCATCATCATCAGCATCCTCGTCATCATCATCATTATCTATCTATCTATCTATCTATCTATCTATCTATCTATCTATCTATCTATCTATCTATCTATCTATCTATCGTATCATCATCGTCATCATCATCGTCATCGTCCTCTCCATCGTCCTCGTCCTCGTCCGCGTCCTCGTCATCATCATCATCATCATTCATCATTCATCATTCACCATTCATCATTCATCATTCATCATTCATCATTCATCATTCATCATCATCATCATTCATCATTCATCATTCATCATTCATCATTCATCATTCATCATTCATCATCATCATCATCATCATCATCGTTATTCAATTACATTTTATCATTATTGGCAATTATTGTCATTATCACGAAAGCTAGCGTCAGCTCGCTAGAGTCTTCTTGCTTTAGCACGTATTCCGGGGCTCCCCAAGGACATCACGTGATTTTTCCCGCGAAAGGGCCCCCCCCTGCCCCCTCCCCCATATATATCATTGTTATATATCATATATCAATATATCATTGTTGCATCCTCGTTGGGACGAACAATGCCGCGACACGATGATGACAGTCCCTCCGTCACTCACCTCTTCCCTTCCTTCTTTCTCCTACCCCGCTAGCTTTCGTCATCCACCCCCGGCCTCAAGTTGTTTTCGCCTCACTGCTGAACGCTTGAAAGATAAGAAAGGGCAGGGCTGGACGTAGCGCTGCACCGAAACTTGTCAGGCCCTCATTGTCTTTGTCTCGCCGCTATATTACATGACCTCTTCCCTGGTGGACATTCAGTTTGCTGAGAGTATTGTCACTTGAACTATGTTTATGTCTATTTTTTTGTTGGCGGCTTTTATGGCTGGGATTGTAGGTTATGGACACTTCCAACCGTAGTGACATGTACTGTAGTGACCATAGTGACCTCTCATCACCAGATTTCGTGCCCTAAAGGACCGATAAAACTCCAGACGTAATCTTAGTGTCATGTGATGATGCGAGTGTTCCTACTTTTGTACTCGCGGTTTTTTGGGAATCAAATCGCACCACTACCAGACTAGCAGCAGACTACCACTCAGAGTGAATGCAATTCAAGGCTCACCCTCTAAGGCCCCAGAATGGACTGAAGCTGTCGCATGAGTTGGGATAATCTGAAGGGCAGATTGATCGAACCCTGTTTGAGCCCTGTATGTATAGAATGGAATGTAATGCAGTGAATCGTACTGCAATGCAATCTCATGTCATATCATGTATAGCCGTATAGCTGCTTGCTTGTGGCTCCTGATTTGCGTTTCACATTTAATGTTGAATCATGTTGAATCTCTGTTGGTTTGACTGCCAAACCAGCGCTTTGTATTATTGCCAAGGCTGTGAAGCAACATTGCACACTTGCCCTTGAAGGCGGGGTGAGTCCAGTGTTG